AAAATGAAATGAGATTTGAAATACGAATAACTATGATCTCGGTTGAATCTAAATGATCTCCTATTATTCCTTATCTTTTAAAAATTAAACTCTTAAGCATTTCCTTTATATACCCTGATTATCCCGGACGGTTTTGAATAATATAAGAATTAAGACTCACACACATATATATCATTTATAATTTAATTATAAAATTAAAATATTTCATTTTTATTTTGAAAACGAAAATTCTTATTTAAATATTAAACGAATCAAAATAGTGATTTTATTAATTCTACGAATGCGTATAGTAAATTTAATAAGAATAGAAAATTATTCCATTTTGAATCATCAGATCAGGAATAACCAATTAAAGTTTTAAGAAAAAAGGCTCATAATTTATAATAATTAAGTGAAGGGTAGTGAAATAAAAACGAATGATGATATTTAATAATTTAACCATTTATTTTATATATTAGTCACTGAAAATATAAAATTTGAGATGAAAACATCAAAAATACTAAATGCCAAAAGATTTCTTAGGCAAGAACAATGCTACCATCCGTTCCCTATTAGAGTAGGAAATAAATCGATGGAATTTCAAGGTTCTTACAACTGTGACACCGATGTTCTATATTTGGAATTTTTTCAATCTTATGAGGTTGAATGGAATAAAAAACTTCGGTTATATGTTGAAGGGCGTCATGTAGTTAACATTCGTTTTATTGAATAATCTTCATACACAAATATTACATGATTATAAGATATATTAATGTGTAAATCAATCATTATTTCGAATTTTATTATTATAATTATATGGGGATATCAACATGAAACATTGTTTTAATTATTTTTATTGGATCAAAAAGTTTAAATGATAAAATCATAAATACAAAGTATAATAATTTTCACAAAAATTTGTAAATTACCGGGCTTAGCATTATTCTATAATCCAACACCAATATTTTCCCTAATTCCATATGTGCATACAGACTCAGCAAAAACATACCAGAGCCGATACTACTAACAATAATCATACAAAAATATTATAAATATAAACTATTTTACTTCACTTTCATTGACTCTAGACGTGTTTTCGATAATGTTAATCATGGAGTTCTGTGAGAAACCTTGTTAGAAAGCGGCCAAGAACTCAATATAATTTAAACTTAGAAAAATTACTACTGCAACCTATTTGCATGCTTTAAAATTATGAATAAAGTATCCCCCTCCTCCAGAATAAAATAAAAGGAGTAAGATAAGGTAGCACCTTATCGCCACTATTTCTGAACATTAAATAAAGTCAGCACTGCTCATCTAATGGATACAGAATCAAACGATGTGCTACGTCTACAAAATATATACAAAATATATACAAAAAATAAATAAAAAATTTTCTGCAAAAAAAACGCTGCGATAGATAGAAAATATTTTTTAATAAAAGATTAAAATGGTAGAAGTTAGTAAATATGGGCCTATTTGTCCTCTGTACCAGGCCTGAATTTATTTAATATTTTACAAATAAAAATTATTATCGCCTTGTTTTTGTAAGAATTTAAAAATATATAAGTTTATTTGAGAAAATGTAATGCATCATTTAAAAACTTAAGCCCGATACGGCCCGACCCGATATTTTAAAAAAAATATCCGTCCAGAATCATCCTAGACCTAAATAATTTTTTAAAATAAACACCCGAAACATGTTTGGGCCGACATGGGACGGGTAAGGGCCAAGCAGTGCAGATATTTATAATGAGGTGTGGGGGAGGGGTTAATAAGAATAAATAAAGTAGCTAGCACTAATTTCAGATTTTAAAGTTTTTAATTAAATTTTAGTAATTATTATTTTTAATATAATTAGCCATTAAATTCAAAGTTTTCATTTAAAAAAAAATGATAATGCTGCAATAGATATAAGAAAAATTGTTTTCGTAAGGGAAAAGGTTAAGGTAGTAAACGTACAATGAGATGTGTAGTGGGGGGGGGAGGTTGTAATATAAATAAGGTAGCTAGAGCGAATTTATTTTTTTACAGCTTATAATTCAATGACAAGATTGGCATCATATTAGAATGTAAATTATAGAAGAAATATCTGGATGAGATAGTGTAATACTTGAATAGTACATACTAATTCATGATTCAACTATTCCAATCAAAAAACAAAGATATTTAAAGTTTAAAATATATAATTAAATGATAAATAATAATTGCTAGATTATAACAATTTGTTTTGCTGAACGACTGAATTTTTAAAAGCGACTAACGTAAATTTTAGCCAAAAATATGGCAGAAATTGGACATCTACGAACAATATTTTGAAGCTTGCTGGATACTTTTTGGCTCAAATATTAGGATGGCCGTTAATACTAATAATTATATATATATGAATAGAATTAGATCATTTTAGTTTTTATAGAGTTGACTTATATTTGATTTACCAGATGTAAATTGCATTTCATTGCAGGAGGCATCAAGGGACTGAATTTTAACGTTCTTACAATTTTGAGAATATAATTTGTTGTCTTTATCCATTGTATGGTAGCCTTTTATTTGCGTTATTCATATAAGCGTCACATTGATAATGAAAACTCACTCTCATCGATAAAATAAATTTCCCTTTCATAAAGGCGAAATCTAAAAACATATTTTTGTATCTTCTGTAAATCTCAATGGTTTACTCTAACTGAACTTAGGGAAACTTAGATACAGTATTTTTTTTTATTTCTACATCAATTTCATTCAATATAACTCTTTTTAAATGTGTTAGGATGAAAAAAGGTAAAATGAAAGTTAAAAAATGATAAAAAATTAGAGAACTGAGTAAAAATGACAAGAAAATAGAAAAATTATTTTTAAAAAGAATAAGATAAAAAAAGAATTAATAAAAGATGAGAAGAAAAAAAAATTAAGAAAAATGAAAAAAGATTGTAAAAATAGAAAAAAGGTAAAATGAAAGTTAAAAAATGATAAAAAATTAGAGAACTGAGTACAAATGACAAGAAAATACAAAAATTATTATTAAAAAGAATAAGATAAAAAAGAAATAATAAAAGATGAAAAGAAAAAAAAATTAAGAAAAATGAAAAAAGATTGTAAAAATAGAAAAAAGATAAAATGAAAGTTAAAAAATGATAAAAAATTAGAGAACTGAGTAAAAATGACAAGAAAATAGAAAAATTATTTTTAAAAAGAATAAGATAAAAAAAGAAATAATAAAAGATGAGAAGAAAAAAAAAATTAAGAAAAATAAAAAAAAGATTGTAAAAATACATGAAAATAAAATTAAAGAGATCTCTAGTGTACCAACTGCTAATATTCTCCTTAAAAATAAACCGGTGTGGATACACGAGAATATTGGAATAAAAGAGAAAGAAGAAATAAAAGAGAAAGAAGAAATAAAAGAGAAAGAAGAAATAAAAGAGAAAGAAGAAATAAAAGAGAAAGAAGAAATAAAAGAGAAAGAAGAAATAAAAGGATATTGGACCAATGGTTTAGCAATGTTAAATGTGAAAATCAGTAAAAAATCTACTGGCATATACTCGCTTAAAGACAAGCTACCTGAGGATAAATCGTATCAATTGTCGAACAAAATATAAATTTCATTATGCTAAAAATATATGTTCCCCATCTTTGCTTAAAGTATAGAAGCCTTAACTTAAGGTTTTCAAAAAAAATTAAACAAAATATATTAGACTCTTAATTTTTTATGTGCCTTATTAAGTGCCATTAATTATGTATTTTATTTATAAATCTATAGAGGTCTTAGTTATTAGTGAATGAATATGTAATAGATCGAGATTACTTAATTATTTTGATTATGAATATGGATTTTAGAGAATTTGTTTACTCCTATATTATAATATCTATATACTCGTATCTTAACTTCGATCATATAATAAATATATTTGGCAAACCAACCACAAACATTTTAACAATTATATTTTATTAAATGATTAACCCAAATAGCCCCATAATTTTAAAATGACATAATAAATAAAATCTGTTGATCTAATGGATATAGGATCCAAAGATGTGCTACTTATAGGAAAACGAATGTTATAATATTGAGAAGACATGGTAGTAATATCCAAGAATATCGAAGAAACTAAAAACTTACTCCACCTCCTAGAAACTTTGAGCCATAGGGTAAGAGTGTAGATAAATTTTAAGAGAATGTTATGCTTCCTTCTCCATACGTGCTACCACTCTAAAATTTTATGGCTAGTACCAACGCGAAGATAGTAGATTAAATTAAGAACTTTGGGGTTACCGTATATAATAAGAACAATTGCGAAGAGGTACTGAAAATAAAAATACAAAATGCGAGAGGTGCTCTCTTCAATTATACCAATCTTTGAAAAATAAGTGAAATCTCTATTTACCAGATTATGCACCTTAACTCAACATAAACTGACATATTCTGGAAAATATCGGAACATACGCCACTCAACATAACACTAAAAAACAGTTCCTAGCCCACATCATAAGGAATTCAGTTAAAATCTGGTATGCCATCACATCGCTTTGCACATATAAAGGAAAACAATAAACAAAGAGCAAATCACTGTAGTACCACAAAACCATTAAAGATGTGTTTAATATTGTTAAACGACTCGATTATTAAAAAGGGCTAACCCAAGATTTTAGTCAATAAATATTAATAAAGCCCGGAAATTTAGCTCATATTTGGCAAAAGGTTTGGACAACTATTAATGAAATCTAGAGGTTCATAATATTTTATGGCTAAAATAATGGGTTAGCCGTTTAACATAAGATGTGATGGAATATATTGATTTGATAAACAATTCATCAAACCAAACAACTGCAAAAGATTCATTTGTGATACTTAAAATCAAAGCCAAAAATTCTCTCGACTTAATACCATGTGCAAATGAGAAAATTTTTATCAGATACAATTCCAGAAGATGATACGAGCAAGGACAACTTCTTCTTATAGATAAATTGAAATTGAATAGATGTGATATATTAAATCTCTCAATATCGATAATAATATATGAGACTTACACAAAGTAATCTAAATTCAAAATCACCCACCCTTTAAGTAATACAATTATACTCTCAGGTATTGGCTTTTTTTTGTCCAACTCTTTTTCTTAGCTCATAGATGTTTAAGCAACAGTTTTCGGTATGCTGTGGGTACAAGTATGTTCGGCTTGCCCAAAAAGCTTATAGGGCTCTTCATTCTTTTATTTTCACTTGAATTAATTTATTTCCAGTTAGATGGACGTCTGTTTAACCTTCAGGGTTTAAGAGCAAAAGGGCTATAAATCAAGTATCACATAAAAATAAAAAATCGCATCATTTTTGATGCGATTTTTTAATGAAACTGAGAAACAAAGAATAACTTTTTAGTACGGATAAAATACATGCATACCTACATAGTAGAACGTTAGCATTTTTCCCTTTTCATAATCATTAAGGGTTCTTAATAAATGTTTTATCGAAAATAAAGTTGTATCAGCATAACGAAAATGTACTATAATAAAATAGGATAGAAGGGAATTTTTATCATGGGTGTCACATTAGAAAAGACAAGGTGGGTTATAAGTTTAATATATACCCATATGTTATTTTTCTAAACCTACATAGGTTTGTATTCCAAAAAAAATAATTTTCATCATAAACGTTTATTAGAAACATGGGAGTTGACCCATGTATTTTATATATATTCAAAATGAAAAATATATATTAATTTTGTCAATTTTTATTGAAAATCTAAAATTAATAATTTTTTTAATATATAAAATATGTAATAAAAATGTTTATAATTTTTTTTATTTAAATATTTTAAATCTAAAAAGTTTATAAATAAAATATTATGACATTGACACTATTATTTTCCAGAAAATATTTTTAAAAAAATGTATATTTTTATAAAAGGTAAAAATTACTTTGAATTTTATTTTTTTTTAAAAAAATACTATGTTTAATTTTGGTTTTGATCTCAATCTTTGATGAGATAAAATTTGTTTTGTCAGGAATCCCATACGACTTCAATGACACAAATGAGAGTTATTTTAATTACATTTCTACAGATTCTGAGATATCTATGACTTCGGTATTGAAACTTAAATATCTTTTTTTTTATTAATTTTTAAATGTTACTTTAACAGGCGCTTAGCTAGCGAAGTAGGGGTTAGGCTCGAGCAGAAATCTTCCCTTAACAAAATCTTGTAAAAAATATATAAGTATTTAGGAATTGGGATTGCAAAGTATTCTATTTCAAATAGGTCATATTATATTCCTTTAAATTTTAACAAAAAATCTAAAATTAATTTTAATAATTCTTCCTCCTGTTATTTTATTCCACACAAATTTTATGTATATTTTAAAACCATAAACACTGTTAGATTTGAGAAAATTTTATCAACCAAAAAAAAATTCCATTTAATTTATTACTAACAAGTATGATATGGCAAAATATACAAATATTTCTGACACTTCTTATGCTATAAGAAGAAATAAATTGCAAGTCTTCTACATCAAGTTGTTATAGCTATTTATGGGTCTAGAATAGCCTATTTTGTCCTTGGTGAAATATCAGAAGGGCCTCAACCAGATATTTCACCTGAAACGGACACATTGTTCGACCCAATTACGACAGCCATTTTTGCTTTGGAAATATATTAATATATGGAATTACATGAAAATTTTATGCAATATTATTTCAAAAAAATGATATAGATTTGGCTGAGGTTATGAAAAATCGCGACTATTATTATATTAAACCTTAGAAAATTAAGAAATAATATCGACCAAGAATTTCACTTATATATGATTTTTTCACATCCCTCTACTTGCTAAACAAACAAATCTTTTCAATATATAACATAGACAAAATTGAAGTTTATTATGATTTACATACCAGTTTATATATCTATCCCCGTAGTCAAATGGTATACGTAAGCCCACCCGAACAAAATAATATGATTATCTGGCCCGGAATAAAAATAAATGACAAAAGGTAGGTTGTTATTTTTTTGAAGGAGTTGATGAGATAAGCTCTGGATCAAAGAATTAGACCTTGGCAGGTTGTTGATAAATCATTTAGGGGATCGATTAAAATTAATATTTATAATAATATATGACTTCAAACTTGAAAATTAACAGAGGCGTATCCTTATAAAATTTTGAAATGACATTGTACAATTATATTTTTCACTTTGTTTGCAAATTGTGACAAGCCGAATTGAAGGAAAAACTGATGATTAGTCGAATTGTAGTAAAAACATTATAAATTGATTAATTTTACAAAGATTTCATATTTCTATAGATAAAAATTGGATCTTATCAAAGTGATCATCTTATAAAAATTGCTAAGAAGCAATTCACCCTAAAAATTAATTCAGTTTGAAATAATATTATGGCAATCTTGTTAATATGATACCTTTATATAATGGCGGTCACTTGTTCTAGAGATCCTAAAGAAAGCTTTCTAAGTTTTATAAGCATCAACAAATAATAAGAATAATCTTCTTAAAATGGGTTTGACACTTTGTAAAAGTTATTAGTTTGCAGTGGCGTAGCTAGGAATTTTCCTTAGAGGGGGTCCATACATATAAAAGCTGGGGGGCTTCTTACAAATCATAACCATATCTTCGATAATATATAATAAATATATTTTTTAAATGCATCAATAATATGTTATTGTAATTTAGTAGATTATTCTCAATTACTTTATAATAATACTATCCAGAATAATTTCAATAGTAATATAATATCCTTCCACAAACATCATAACCAGAAAAATATAATTCATATAAAATCACTTTTAAGTCTTTTGAACGTATAATCTAAAAAAAAATTTTGCTCTGGGAGGGGTAAACCCGAAAACCACCCCCGTAGCTACGCCATTGTTAGTTTGTCATGTTTTCTTTAACCAAATCTCTTATCAAATAAGATGTGATACAAAATTTGCATATCAATACATCATTCAATTTTTGTCAATATAATATCAAACAATATAAATTTTCTCTTAAAATAAAAATATAAAAAATTCCGCCCTAAGAAATTTTGCGAGATTGAAATTATACTTTTATGAAGTAAAATTGACATTTACTAAATTATCTTACAAATAAATATGGGACGATTATAAAATAAAAAAAAATCAAATGAATGTATTAGGCAGAGATGATAACATCCAAGGATTATCCTTACGAAAATTATGAAATCGTTGCGGAAGATGGATTCTTCCTGCAATTACATAGAATTCCATTCGGTAAAAATCTGAAAAATACGGAAGCCTCAGTTTACTTGCAACATGGATTACTCAGCACATCGTGCGATTTCTTAATGAATTTGGAAAACCAGAGTCTAGGTAGTTTAGATGATTAAATATATTAAAAAATCTGAATTCTAAATGAAAAAAAAATAAATATTGTATATAATGATGAGTGGGTGTTAGCTGGTGGAACCGTTAACCGCAAAAATAAATAATAAATAGTTATAAGCCCCACCCTACCCCTCCCGCCAAAGAAAACTCAAATCTCTTCTCAACTTATTGAAAAAATTTTGCGTCATATTATAAAAAAATAAATGTCACGACATACAATATGTCCTCCTAATCATTGTATACTAATTTTTTTCAACTTCCAATCATTTGTTCAGGGTGTTTTATTGTGGGAATTTTAATTTAATGAAAATTTTAATTCTCCTTTAAATTAGACTAACCCAATATTTTGGCCAAAAATTATTAAGCATGGCTGGAGATTTTGCTTATAAATGGCACAAAGGTTTGGACATCTATTAATAAAATTTAGAAGCCTGCGAAAAATTAATTTGGCTAAAATTCATAAAATTTTCAAATATAGGTTAGGGGAAGGGGGGTGGGGTGATTATCTCTTCCTGGTAAAATTCTTTAGGTTCTCATAAATTTTAATTTGTCAGTAAAAATTATCCACATACATATACTGATAATATTTTTTTTTAAGCTTTGACGAGATTGCAAAATACGATATTCCAGCTATCATCAATTTTATCATTAAAAAAGCTAACAGAGATTACATATTACGTGGGACATTCTCAGGGGACTACGGTAGCATTCTCGATTTTATCTCAGAATCCTAAGATGGCCAGCAAAGTTAGGATACTTTTTGCCCTAGCCCCCGTGGCCTACTTAAAACATATCACATCCCCCATCAGATATTTAGCACCTCTGACATTATCTCGAGATCTTATAACCGTAATGTTAGGTACATTGTGTTAAAGTTATATTTTATACACTGTATAAGATTAACAGTTGAAAATAACTATTATGTTAGAAAATTTGAAAATTTTCACTTTTGAATAAAAAAATTAATTCTCATTATTATGTTGATTATCTCGTTAATCTCATAGTTTAACATAATGTTTGTTAGAACTTTTTTTTTATTCTAAAAGAATATTTGATTATTCAAGGTGATAAAGAATTTATCCCCAGTAACTCTATAATAAAGTGGTTGGCCAAGTTTGCATGTCCAAATAAAAAGGTGATAAATTTTTCCCCAATTTGCTGTATTTGATTGGAGGTACAGATACAAAAAAATTCAATCAAGTAAATATATTTTTGAAATTGATTTATCATTACCCTAAAGAGAAATTATTTTTTCACTTTTTTATTAATTAATTAATTACTAAAGAAAGGATGGGATGGTTGGAATTCTTCCTGCTAAAATGGAACATAAATATCAGCATTCACCCTTTCATTACAAGAAACTTTATTTAAAATACAATACCATATCTTTCATTCCATTTATACATGCCAAATATCTGCAATAAACAGGTTTTAAACCCCCCAATAACTCATTGCGTTATAAAAATTTTAACCTTTCCTCCCACCTCTCACCAGCTCATAAATTTAAAAAAAATTTAACCATCCTACCAGATGATATTATTTGAAATTTAGTTTAGCTTGTCTACTCGTTTATTAAAAATTTAGTATTTAGGGCAAAATCTACCACCCTTTAGGGTTAGGTACTCTTAGTTTTTCTAAGAGTGGGGACAGCTTGTTTTGGTAAAAATTTGACGCACTTTCATCCTTGTTTACCTTGGTTATTTAATAACTTCTTACAGAAGGGGGGGGGGGTGTATATTAATTTTTTTTTGTACGTGTATTTTTGTCTCCAACCCCAATAACCAAGGGTAAGCAAGGAGGAAAGTGCATATATCCTTTAGGAGTGCGTCTCACTCTTCGCAGTATAGTAATTTTAGAAATATGCAACGTCACCCCTTTTTAACCGCATCCTCGTTAAAACTCTTATTTTGTATTTTATCGAATCCTCCATTATATTTTTTTTAACTCTCACGACCTTCATGGGCCGGGCCGACCCGAATGGACCTAATATCATATTTTCTAGCGGGTCAGGGGCGGGTCTGGGTTTTTAATAAGTTTTTTTTAATGGACTTCAGCCCGAAATTATTATATTTTAATTTAGATTATTTAAAAAAAACGGTTGCTAATTTAAAGAAATATTTGCCCTTTTTTTATTTCTTATAATAATAAATTTTCAGTATTGTAAACAAAACGATTGCCTAAAATATATTTAAATATTGTTATTTTTCATTAAATAAAAAATAATAATTAAATTTTTGTATAATGGGCTTGGGGCCGGACTTGGAAAATTTTTAGTGAAACTTATTATGGGCATGGTCCTAGTTTGGGAATTTTTTTTAACATTAAATATGGGCAGGGGGGCTTGGATTTAAGATTATAACGATTAATGGTTAATTTGTCGGCTTTTACCAAATTGCTATCTTAGTTATCCTTATTTATATTAAGATTTTTTTATCATGCCATAATGGTATTGAATTTAAGTGAGTTTTTGAGGGTTCATAATTTAGCAGTTCCTTCTTCGCAGCTAAGCATTTTTCACAATTGCTTTATCCCTTTTTTGTCTAAATTTTGAACAACTAATGAGTGAATAGATATTTTTGTAACTAATATTTTTAATATGTTATCTTGTTTATTAAATTTTGTATAATTCATTCAGAACCAAATGTTATTTAGTGGATTAAAATTTATCAACTAGTAATTTATTTTCAAATATTGAGGTCGGATAAGCTTGTGGTGATCATTTATTGAGGGAAAGAATTTTTTTTTCGAGGGATAAGGTTTGAGGGCCAAAAAAATTTAGGGTGCTCTCCCTATAGGGCCTGCTCCGTGGCTACGGCCCTGATTTTCTATCTGTAGAATCTGTCCACTAAACTATAATATTTTTACTTGTAATAGATAAAAAACCTTTTTAGTTGACTTTAGTGATACCCAAAAACTCTGGTGTTCGTAACAACTTATAAGTCGAAGCCAACTCACTATCAGATTGCACACTTCTATCACGAATGGGTAGGGGGGGGGGGGTATTTGTTTATTCCAAAATATGCCGCCTATTTATTTAAGCTTATACCAAAGAAAGGAAGGAAGGAAGGAAGGAAGGAAGGAAGGAAGGAAGGAAGGAAGGAAGGAAGGAAGGAAGGAAGGAAGGAAGGAAGGAAGGAAGGAAAGATAGAAAGAAAGAAAGAATTAAAAAAAGAAAGGAATAAATAAATACCTGTCATTTAACCCAGGGCACCTCTAGGAGTGTACTGATGTTCCTAAGTGTATCAATATGCCCTGATTTCTCCTATTTATATAAATATTCATGGAGAATTTGAATATTAGCAAAATAATTTCTAATATTTATGAAAAAATGTTTTATTTTTGAATATCTAAATAATTTAAGAAAATACAAATAATATTAAATAGTAAAATCGAATTGAATTAAATAGAATAGGTAGGTTTATAAAAGACATAAAAATTGACCCTTTTATTTTTGACCAGATTATTAAAAAAAATTATTTTCAACTTATTTAATTGAATTTCGTAATCATAAATGGAACATGATGCCTTTGTTGTAATGCATTAGCTATAATGAACTTATAAAATTAATACGGTATTAAAAAAATTTTCCAGGCTAATAATGAGACTAGGAAGGATTACAGTTAGGGAGCACATGTATCTTTATAAGATTTAGTTGGATTCCTCTCTGTGAGTATCTTATTAAAACAATAGATGATAAAGTTATATTCACGCACATGGGAAACGTGAAGGAATGTTTAAATAAAAATACATAATAATCATGATAAATAGGATAGAAAGAACAATGTTTTAAAATTGCTTAACCCATTGTTAAGATTAATCCATTCAAGAAATATATGCATAATAAATTTAGTGAGATTTCATTTAATATTTTGTTAATCTAAAAAAAATTATAAATTATGAAGATATTCATAAACAACTTTTAGATTTTATTATATAAATATAAAAGAATGAACTTTTAAATTTTAATTAAAATAGTGTTAAACTTTATTTTTTTAAACAACTTTAAAATTAAATAATGGGAATGGTGATACGATTATATTAAATTTTATTTTAATCCGGGGAAAAATAATTTTTATTTTCTTTAAAGTTGAATTATAAGTCTGATTTACTTATAGAGACACTAGAGACAAAATAGGACTGAAAAATTGCAACAATAATACAACACAATGATTATACCAATTTTGTTGTTGATTCATCTTTTAAATGGGATAAAAATTGCGCAGAATGCTTATCTAGAAAGCCAGAAAACGGATTCATACAGTTACTACAATGGTGCAAATTTAGGAAAATTTTTTGGTGGGATTCCAACAGACCCAGAGATAACTATGTCTCCAGTAAATTTAATTTTTCTTAATAAATTTAAAAAAAAAATGCTTGTCGTAGGGAGAGATAATAAGAGCCAGAGGCTATACTTATGAAAATTATGAAGTTGAAACGGAAGATGGATTTATCCTGCAATTACATAGAATTCCGTTCGGCAGAACAAAGAACGATTCAACAGCCGCGATAGCCTCCGTTTACTTGCAGCACGGTTTGCAATGCTCGTCTTGCGACTTCCTGCTCAATTTAGAAAACCAGAGTTTAGGTTAGGGAATAGGGATAATTGAATGAACTTCATATAGTTATGTAATGAATCATTACTTTCCATTATACTTTTGTATTTACGTACATGTCCAGGGGTTAGGTTAAAGGGGTTTGAACCGTTAAACCTAACTACGCTTTTAAAACTGAACCAAAATTTAATAACGTTTTTACTATTTTAAAAGCGTATATTTTAGCCGAAAATGGTTTCGATGTTTGGTTGGGCGACATAAGGGGTAACACGTATTCCAGGAAACATAAAACGTTTACGTCAGAGGACGACGAATTTTGGGATTGGAGGTATATTATAATTTGCTCTATTTTTTTTCTCAAATTTTTTTAGAATAAAATTTATAAAAAGAAATTGGGAGATATGAATTAAATATTTATAATTTAAGATTCCAACCATGGTAAGCTCACACTTGCCCCATGTTTTTTAGAAATAATTTTCTTCTCACACTTATTGTACACGCTTGCCATTTTTTTTAAAATTATTTTGCCCGCTAATAACATATCTCGAAGCTTCGATGAAATGGCTAGATACGATATCCCGGCGTTCATCAATTTCATCCTCAAAAAAACGAGCCGAGAATACTTGTACTACGTAGGGCATTCCCAGGGAACCATGGTGGCATTCGCACATTTCTCCCAGAATCCTAAGATTTCTTGGAAGGTCAAAATGTTTTTCGCGCTGGCGCCCGTAGCCTACTTGAAAGAAATCAAATCTCCCATGAGAATGATAGCGCTTATGTCACGGACCTTGAAACTCATAAACGACATGTTCGGTATATTTTGAATAAATAATACATCGCATTATATATATATTTTATTACTTGTAAATTTCGTAATTAAATCAATCTTATAAAAGAAAATTCTGATTTAAATCGATACAAAGATTCTCACCCCCCCCCCACCCTCAAAAAAATAAAATAAAATCCATTCTAAATTTTTATTGGATACCTGGATACCAAAACTCTTCTACATTTTATTAGAATAAGGTCAGAACCGACTAATTTCATAATAACTAATGATGCAGGAAGACTTCAATAAAATATTATACAATATATATCGTTATTTAAGGTAGCAGAAAATTTATGCCTAAGAACGCTTTATTAGAATGGATGGCCGCGTCTGTCTGTCCCCAAGATATAGAGCTCTGCGCCAATATGCTATATTTAATTGGAGGTCCAGAGACGGGAAATTTTAATAAAGTTTAAACAAAAAACTATAATATTTTTTTAACTCAAATTTATAGGTCTCACATAAAAATTTCATATATCAATTCTTTTAAATTTCGAAATATTCACTAATATAATAATATCAAAGCATATATGTAAGTTTCTTTGAGGATGTTATACATCTTGCAAAATATTTGCCTATTAGTTTTTAAGAATAAAATAGAAAGGGGGGTCATTCAAGTATTAAATCTGACTTCTCAGTAAACAAAAAAAATATCCCATAATGAGTGAGCTATATAAGCTTGTCCTAGAATTTCCGAAAGTTAGAAAATTAAATCAGATTTACAACTTGAAAAGGCAGAATAATTCTTTAAATTTTCTAAAAATCATATCTAACTTCTGATATAATTTTTAGAAATGCTAAATAGATATAATAGCTCGCTACATAAGAAAGATACTTACAGGGAGAAACATTTTAAAGGAGAATTTATAATAACTGATATGTATAAACTATGCAATTTTTTACGAGTAAAGGGTAATAATCTACAGCGTCGTCATGGAGTGAATATGTTTTTTTAGAGGCAGCTAGCTCATGTCCTCTTTAGGAGCCTACCTTTTTACCGATATATGGAGGGAAAATGGCTTCCCCGCCCGCCCCCTCCTTCATTTTTTTATAAATAAATTACGTGATTATTAAGGAATGAACGATAATTTATTTTTCAAAATGTAGAGTAAAGTGCCAGTCATATATGGACATTACCCCGCAGGAACGTCGGTTAAAAACATTGCTCATTTTATCCAGGGTATTTTAAATGATGATTTTCGAATGTACGATTACGGTTTTTTTAAAAACCTGAAAGAGTATGGAAAGGTAAATTTACGTTAAAATAATGCGATCTCTCCTCCTATTTTAAAAAAAAAATATAGAGGAGACCGGGGATGGTTGGGACACTTTTCGTTCAAACCTTAATAATTTTAATATTAATGGACTAATCTGAATAATTAAAACATCTTCTGAATCCCAGAAGTATAGGCTATTTGAAATAATTAATATATATTTTATGAAGATTATATTTTTTTAGAAAATTGAATTTTAAAAAAAAAATTTTTTTTGTCCCAACTATGACAGACTCTGTGTTCGTTGGGACACACATATGTGATAGTTGGGACACTCGTGAAATAGAGGTCTAAATAAATTTAAAAATTTAAAATCAGTAATCCAGTAAGACTAGAGACTATGACACATATGATTTTAGTGATAATATTGTAATTCATAATCAATAACTATTTTAAAAAAATTTTAGCAAAATTTAGGAAATTTATTTTGGGGAAAAAAAAATTGTAAAGAAAAAAATGTAAAAAAAATTTTTTTTTAATCATAAACATAGCGAAAGATTAGTATTTAATTATTCGTTATTCACAATACTAAATTAATAATAAAATAATAAAATTGTTTATAAAATGAGCTAAAATGGCGTGTCCCAACTATACTATGACCAATTATGACCGAGCCCACTAACTTTATAAATATCATCCAAAATCATATTAATTCATGTTTAATGATTCTGAAAGTTTGCCAGATTGGAAAATAGGGTTTAGTCTTTCCTAAAATTTATTTATTATGATTTTTGAAGCTTTATTTATAAATATAAACGATAAAGTTTGCAAATATTTTTTATTACTTTTGGTATGCCTAAAACACATTTTCTTCTGTAAAAATTAAAATACAAAATATTTTTCAAATCTTTCTTAGCCAATCATGTATGACAAAATTATCTGTGTTAGGCTCAAATTTCCAGTCTTATAAAATAATAGCTCAAATTATAATTAGAATGTCCTAACGTTCCCCTGTACTCAATGTACCCCGGTCTCCCCTATATATTATGAAAATGGAAGAAAAAATTGTTTAAAAATATATCAGAAATCTAACGACCTATCTGCAAGTGGTCCCGTTCGCCACGACCCGGATTTTTCTCGGTCCTGCAGGCCCGACCCGCACGGGCAGCGCCGTATTTTATCGCTATCATCAGCTATAAAAATTAAAAATAAATGTAACATATTTTTTAAAATAAAAATCGGGGCTGGGCCGTGTAAATAATACCCCTGCAGGTTTCTGATTTTTCTTATAAAAAAAAATCTTTTCGACCTGGCCCGGATTTTATATTGCCGGTCAGAATTTTTTAATATTTAGGTCCGACCCGGGTATATTTGAAGAAAAAATTAAAATGCGGCGGGATCCGTGGACCGGGGTCAGGAGGTCTCCGAAATATATGTGCACCATCTCCAAGGCTCGAGACAAAAATAAATCAGCTAAGCCCGGAAAAGCGGAAATCATCTTACGGGTTGAAACCTCGAAATTGAGAAGACAATGAACAATAATTATCCTCTAGGCTAAATTTTTTTTATTTTTATTTTCGCGTAGAAACCTATCTAGAAAAATTTACTATTTTGAGGTTTACATTTTACAATTTAAAAAAAAAAATTAAGTAATAAAGTATTTGAATTTACTTGGCCCCACCCCTTTTTACCCCAGAATTAAAAAAAAATTTCAAGAATTATTAATCTTATAAAATATATTATTATTTATATTAAGTTATATAATGCTCTAATATAATTATCGCAATGTGTGAATGAAAAATCTCTTTTTTTATCAAAAAAAAACAGTCTGAACCACCATCGTACGATATAAGTCAAATGATGGTTCCTACAATGATATTTTGGGGAGTTAAAGATTGGTTAGCCGACCCTGAAGACGTGAACAAGTTGATTCCCAAAATTAAAAACTTGTTGGGTAATTATAAATTCGAAAATTCGAATCATTGGGATTTTATTTACGGGACAAATGCCGCGAACGATTACTACTCCATCATAGTCAAGACCATGCTAGCTTCAGAAAAGAATTAAAGAACCCTTCTAAATTAGTCAATTTTTTGTATTACTATTATCTTCATTGTGCAAATTTTTTTTATTCATTTGCATTTATTTCAATGTAAAATTTTATTATCATTTTCTGTACTTTTGGATAGCGATATTTCTTTTATTGAATTTTTAAAAATTAAAATATGATATAATTTAAATGTAGACAATCATAATAAAGATTATTTAGTCAATTTAATCTTTTTCCTAGTATGAACAATTTTTTTTTGCGATGCATAGATGATATCAATTTATATTAACTGTATATTCATATTTTTGATCGTTTGCCTAAAACTTGTGGCAAATGATATGATAAAAAATTTTTTTAATGCGTTGATTTTTTTAATATATTATATTATATATATACAATATTTTTATTGAATCCATGTATAAATGAAGAAAAAAGGTGTTTAGATTAATAACGCATTCTTTGGATGTATAAGGAAATGAAAATTAAAGATTAGTAAATATATATATATATATACGGTTATAATTAATATTTATTGATTAAGGGGAATCAGCCATTTTGCCTCTAAAGATATGGTGAACATCGAACAATTGGGCGTTGACAAAGACGACAGGGACAACCTCAGAACCACGAAGAATGCTAATAAAGCAACCGAAAGTGCTGCTACCAGAGATTTGGACAAATTCTTTGACAAGTCTTTTCTCTCTCTCTTGTTTCCTTTCTTCTGTCTATATAAATATTTTTTATTATTGATTCTCAATTTAAATTTAATTTCTAAAAAATAAATTAACATTAGATACGGGTTAGACGACGATTACCAAGACGCGGGAGACGACTGGTCTTCTAGCGGCATAAAAAACGGGAAAAAGGCGGGGAGCCGAATTTTCGATGGTATTAAGCCCTACAGCGAAAGTACTAAAGATGCGGACATGGATAAATATAAGAAAGGGGACAAAATTATGAATATAAAATTAGTTCACATCGTATAATTTTTTTAAAAAAAAACCAATGACATGTATAATACCTAGACTGACGATTCATTCAAGTGTACATCAATCAAATCAGCTGGGGACGCCATATTGGTTACAGTAGTCATTATTAAAATTTTAAATAACATCAATCTGGATCATAAAATTAGGATAATATATATTTGTTGTTTTAATTTTAAAAAATTAGAAACCAAAATGGCGGGTCCAGCTGATTTGCTTTTAACGACTCTTATACATGCATTTTAATGAATGAATCGCCAGTCTAGGTATTATTATATGTCATTGAAAAAAAACATACACAATAAGGGAAGGAAAGGAAATAAGAACATTTTTTCCTTAGATTAAATAATATCCAACCATGTTAAAAGTGAGGCCACTTAACTCAAAAATATGGCTCATACTTCCGGTTCTATATATTAGACAAGTTTAAAGTGGAACATTAGGAGATGTATAATGATATGAATTTATAAGATACTTTATATAAATCTTATTTGACACGCGATTTATTTCTATCCTTCAGTAAGGATACCAAGGACGAAACCAACGCGGCTAGAACCCAATTTTCTAACGCCAAATCAATATCCTCCGATCAATATTTCAACAAACATACCAGGGACGAGGTATATAATAATAATAATACGTATATGTTGACACCATTTTTATTATGAAAACTTAATGTTTCACACTAACAATAATTTCAAATATTGTTGCTAAAACTTATCATTTTTATATAGATATCATACTATATATATATATATATATTTATATTTCATATTGTTTATGAATGACCTATTTTAAGTAGCGATTATCATCTCAAAATTTTATATCCAATTTGACGGAATGACTAATAGATAAATAAGTAGAAGAAGGGGGGGGGGCTGAGTCATTTGCCAAATCGATAAATGATTCCTTCAAATCTCGATTTTTACTAAATTCGGCGTGCAGATAAAGGTTAATTTTACGACAAATTAATGCTTCGGACGACCATTTTAAAAATGGATGAAAACTTGGTATGGATTCCTATATAAAAAATTAAAATTGAATGTTCTTAGCTCAAATAGAATTGAAGTTGGCGCCAATCTTAGTTTTAATGATCCTCAATTGCCAGATAAATATTCAGTCTGAAGTCACAAATTATATATTATTTTATAGCCCCCTTCGAATTTCTCATTAAGAAAATACTAAAATCAAAATTAAAAATACCTTTTCGAGAAAGGTCACATCCGAAATCAGGGGGTTGTCACTAGCCTTTACAATCTCAGGGTCTCAAAATAATTTTTGAAAATGATTTTTAAAACTCTTTTTTAAGCTAACATTATCAAAATTACATTTATTTATAAAAATTTTAAAATTTTGAGGAGGTTCTTAAAATTATCTAAGCTACCCTTCCCAAATATATTTATTTACCCATATATTTATAGCAAAAAAAAGTTATTAGAACAAGTTTTTAGCTCTAGCTAATTGAAATTACTTTTCATAAGTAACTTTATAAAATTATTTAAAAATTAAATAATATCACAATTTTGTAAAATTTACTTTAAAAGAAAGGAATTTAAAACAATTTTGAATTGAAAAAAAATTTTTTATTTTTATTTTTGATAATAATTTGGAACTTCTAAAAATTCTTTTTATAGGGAAGCGAGTACAACGCCAAGCTACGCAATCTGGAAGGCAAATCGGGTATTTCCAGTTCCGATCTTTTCAGCGAAAGTGACGGCTTCAAATCGGGAACTTCCAAAGGTTCTGGCAACCCTCGCAGGTCTTCATCCAATTTCTCCACGTCCTACAACAACGCTTACGATTACTACTCAACTTATAAGGACATGTTGTCCCCCGAGCTTACCAATATCAAAGACGGCGTTAAAGATGGGGTCAGCAGAATAACCGGAAGGTTGACCAACATGGCCAGCAGCGTGTTTAGTAATATTCAGGTTAAGCATTACGAGATTTCTTGATAGAGAGGAAAGAAAAAAAATATCAGAGTGCAAACATGATTTGTAATCGAAAATTGGTTCTTTATTATCATTTTTACTTAAAAATAATATTCTATTTCGCTAAGAATTGGGGATATTTATAGATATTGGGGAAATGTCTTAAATATTAATAAGTACTCCCTTAGCCTCCACCAATATTATTTATTATCAATATTGGCTTAAAGATTTTATATGATAAGAAATAATCCCAATTTTTATTTGAACAGAAATAAAATAATGACCGTCAATTTTCAGCCGAAATATTTTTATCACATTGACAATATTTTGATCATTCTTGATAACCTACATTTTCTTACTTATAAAATAAAAATAAAAATTGAACCAATTTTTTTTATAGTATTAACTAAATTTTTCAAATTACTCTACAAATAATAATGATCAAGGTTCGGTCTTTAACCGGTTATAACTAAGAGGACCCAACCCTTGACTTGTTTATTAAAGAAGATCGTACTCTGTGGGGTTTTCTTAGTACATCTTTACTTACGAATCATAAGGTCCTCCTCACTTTCTCACATCATGCCCCTCCGCGTCCTTTAAGTTTCCAAAGACTTCTACGATCATTTCTAATTATCTCGAACGCAAAACATAATATTTGTTTTTTTAAAGGATCGATATAGCTAAGTCAATGAAGGTCGTCTCGAGGAACATTTATTGCTCTTGAAATTCTCAATCTTCGATTACTATGCTGAATATTTAGGATCCCTTAAAAAGAGTTTGATGAAGAGGAAAAACAGAATGATAATAATTTTATATTTGTATTTTGTCTTATTTATTCCTCGCATTATTTTGTAATTGATTATTATTTTTTGTTATATCATTTCATTTTAAAACCTTATATATATATATATTTTTTTCCTTTTTTTTATACTCAATTAATATATAGTAGCTGCATCTACCCAGGTAAAGTTTTAAAAAGAATTGTATCGAGATTACTGAAAGATGCTAATTGTGTACTAATTTAATTAGGTTTCAGAAATGGTATCAAAAAATATGTTTTTCAAATATAATTTTTATAATCCCCGCCTTAATTAAATTTATTTACCCGTCTTATATTATTTATAAAAATATGATGAATATTTCATAAAAAAACATTTTTAAAAACATTATTGGTGATTATGTTTAGGTTTGGGTATTCAATCATAAACAAAATAAATATCGGCCATTTTTATTTTGTGTGTATGTGTGAATTAAAAAATTGGAAATTTTTTAATAATATTTAAAAATAATTTTTCTTGGTGTCTAAAATTATTAGGCTCTTCGCGCCAATCATTAATATTTTTAAGGTAACAGTTTGCAATGGATTAGTTTGTATTATATATTTTTTTTATCTGAGATCCCTATCAAAAAAATAGTTGTTCAGTTCCAGGTTCGGGCAAGTCAGACAATATATTATACGATGAAAATGGTTATGCCTAACAATAATTTATTTATATAATCAGCACTGTGCTACTAAACATTTAACAAATGGCTCGCTAAATCATTCTTCAAATTTTAATTAATTTTATAGCCCCAATTTATTTTTATTAAAGGACTTTATAGCTATATTTTTATGTTAAAAAAAATAAATTCCCAACTTTTAAATAGTTTTTTCAACGCATGTGTCTATGGCTGATTATTTAACCAAGATATTGCAAAAGAAGAGGTTTACCATTTTAATAAAGGTTAATAGTAACGTCATTAAAATTGCAACATGCTTCACTGTTAGTTAATTTCTAACTTTTTTGACCATTTCATTCATCAAGTTATGTTCTCTTTCATTTTCTGCATTGTGAATACATATTTTATTTACGATTTTTATTCGCTTTCTCAATGTTCTTAGGAATGGCGCCAGATTATAATTATCCAATTTCTAAATTCTAATTGAATTGATTTTTAAAATTCTCGATATAAATATGGTAATTTTTATTCTCCTCAGCTGATTAGAGTACATTATCAAGTAGCCACGATCTAGTTATAATTTTAAAAAAAAACTTAATGTTCATAATTTTTAGTTTTATTTATATCACCTAATTAAATGGTTGATGTCTAAAGCCCAGATTTCATATACTCCTTTATCCTTGCAATTAATTTGACTCAAAGTAAAAGGGAAACTATTATATTTCTCATTGATATGGAATGCATTTAAATGCCTGACTTTCAATTCTGATTGAAACCTATTCATACATACTAAAATTATCTTAAATCTCCTTTATTTATCTCTGAATCAATTTATTAGTGACCGATAAACAATAATTTATTAGTAGCTATTTTAAATAAATGTCTTATTAGATTTATAAAAGCAATAATTTTCTTAATGTTTATTCTTTCTAGGCTGAGAATGATTTAATAAAGAGAGTGGATGCTAGCAGCCAGTGGTCATCCCCTATACTATCTTTTCATTAGTTTATTCTAGTAAGGACAGCGTTTGGATATTTAAACCACTTCTATAGATCCTGACATATCTCAGGTCCTTATTTGAAGCAGATGCTACCATCCTCTGTCACCCAACCTCTAACATACATAATGACAAGGATGCCTTGATCGTCAGTTTCGCTGAATGCCTCACTTCTAACAGGCTTGAGGGAAATCCGATTAACATTATTAAATGCAAACTAGGCTATGAATGGTCAGAGTCATATTATTATTAAAAAACCCGCTTTAATAGATAAAAATATTTTAAAAAATTCATATAAAAGAAATCTACAAACCAATTGGCCTATTCTTTACAAAGCATATTTTATCTCTAATTGGACTTTGATATCTTCTTATGGCTATAAATACATAGAGTAACCTAGATACTGTATATTTTGATATTTCTATATTATATCACTCTTTAATCATTTCAAATAACTTTTTTAAGGGAGAAGATGAAAAAAGGAGGAAAAATAAAAAATAGAGAATTGAATAAATGACTGGGTAAATAAAGAAAGTATTTTTAAAAAGATAAAAAAAAATAAAAGAATATTTACAAATGAGAAGTAGGAAAAAAATGATAAAAATATATTAAAAATGACTTATAGTAGAGTTAGTAAAAAATTAGAAATTAAATAAAGAAAAAAAATTTAAAATACAAATATTTAAGAACATGGATATTTTACTGACCATAAAAAATATTAATTTTTTTCTACGACAAAGATGGTCATAGCTATCCCCAAGGCAAATCACATTCTTCAAACCTAGCTTAGTTCCAAGGAGATTTCCTAGATGTACTTTTCTACCTTATTTTCTTATCCGTTTCCTATTATACTTTAATTTTTATTTTTTTCAAAATAATGCTGGCATTTCTTTTAGTAAAAATTTTTATACGTTGATAATAAATACATTAGCTATTTCTGAGAATAGATAAAAAAAATAAAAAACTTTTAATTTAAAAAATACAATTTATCAAAAAAAAAATGTAAGCAAATATTGCAACTGGGAAAACCCTATTATAGGGAGCGCCCTATAGAAAATAACCATAATGCCCTTTAAAGGGACAATGCATGTAGTTACTTACAATCCCTGAGATTGTCGTATTTCTCAAATTTCATCTCTTGCTATTGAAATTATAGATAAATTGCCCAGAGAGTGTTCAATTATTAGAGTTATTGCTATATTTTTTATTAATTAAATAGGTAGGGATTTTTTTTTTGTAAAAAATTAAATTTTTTTCCATGAAAAATAAATGTGCTTCAATAAACGAAAAATTGTTTTCGTAAATGTGAAAAGGGTTAAAGTAGTAAAGGTAAAAGGAGTAGAGAGAGGGGTAATAAGATGCTACCAAAGCGAATTTCTGTTTACATCTATAACAAAATATCCTCATTTTATATTATTAAATAAAATTTTTTCTTAAAACTTAAAAATTATATATTAATTAAGGAATTTTTTTTGGAAAATAAATTTTTATCCGATAAAAAGGTAAAAAAAATTTATATTACATTTATATAATATATTCAAAATTTAATATTTCTTTTAAATATAATGTTGGAAAGTCAATGTATATGTTCGCAGTGGATTTCGTTATAAATGCTGATCAAATTTTTTCTTTATTTCTAATCATAATTGAAATTTAAGAATTATCAATCTTTATTTAGAAATTGAATAATAAACTCGCTAGTGTCTTAAATACTATTGAATTGGTTCGAAATTTTTTAAAAATGAAAAAAAATTATTGATTAATAATAATATAATAAAAATGATATTGTTTGAAAAATATTTCTATACTCATTTTCAATGTAATCTTCATAACCAAATTATTATTCCTCTATACTCCTATAAGTGACTGGATAAATTTGTCATATCATTTTTACAAACATTCAAAAATTACATTAAGCAATTATAAAATTATAATAAAATAGGCATTTACACAAAGAATATGAATATTAACAAATTATATGGGATGTTAATTGTCGCGATTTGTATCTGGCTTGCCGTTATCGTTCAATCGAGTATACTAATATTAATCAACAAATAGATGAATGAAATATTTTCCAAATCTATTATTATAATATTGTGTTAAATTTTTAAGCTATAAAATTTATTTTATCAATTTGTATCTAGACAAGGTGAATAATAAAAGGACTGATACTAGTTCAAGTAAGTTATTTATATTTTTTATTATGAGAAACTAATTCATACTATCAGAGGTGATAAATCTAGAATTTTTCATTATTTTTATAAAATATGGTAATGTAGTTTATATTTAATTCACTTAATATAAATAAAATAATTAAAAAATATTTGTAAAGATTTTTCGATATATTATTGGCCTAGGTGTTATTATATGTCATTGGTAAAATTAATATAATTTAAGAGAATTACCTATTATACATATTTTGAATATTATATATTGGATGAATAATTGTATTATTTATAAAGGAAAACAAGCAACTACGATTAAAAAAACTAATAGGCTTTCAACAAGTAAATTTATATTTTATCTTATTTAATTAGATATAATAATTTAAGCTTGAAATTTTTTTTTTTAACTATTAAATATTTTTAATATTATTATATTATATTTCTAGATAATTTTTATTTATAAAATTAAGGCAAATACCCCGAATATAAAATCAGATAGTCTTTCAAGTAGAATCTTAATTTATATATATATATTAGTAAAATAATTTAAGCTAAAAAATTTATAGTAATTGTAACAGTTACAAATTTTTGAAATAAAAATAATTCATAATTAATTAAACAGCAATAGCTTCTACGAAAGGAACTCCTTCAAGTAATAATGTTAATATTTCTTAAATTTAATATAATTTAAGAGAATTACTTGTTTAAAATATTTTTAATATAATATATTGGATCTTGAATAATTGTTTTATTTATAAAGGAAAACAATCCAAAGCTACGAAGAAAACAACTAATAGACGTTCTACAAGTAAATTTATATTTTATATTATTTAATTAGATATAATAATTTAAGCTTTAAATTCTTTTTAACTATTAAATATTTTTAATATTATTATATTATATTTATCTAGATAATTTTTATTTATAAAATTAAGGCAAAATCCCCGAATATAAAATCAGATAGTCTTTCAAGTAGAATCTTATTTATATATATATATTAGTAAAATAATTTAAGCTAAAAAATTTATAGTAATTGTAACAGTTACAAATTTTTGAAATAAAAATAATTCATAATTAATTAAACAGCAATAGCTTCTACGAAAGGAACTCCTTCAAGTAATAATGTTAATATTTCTTAAATTTAATATAATTTAAGAGAATTACTTGTTTAAAATATTTTTAATATAATATATTGGATCTTGAATAATTGTTTTATTTATAAAGGA